AGGTTGTTATTAGTGACAGAATGTGTAGTTTGAATAGTGTGCTATTGATAGTATTGGGCATCAGTTTGGAGATTTCCATTTTAAGTAACTCATAGGTTAATATTCTCTGAGTGTAATAAGGTAAAATTGCCATTTGTTTTTCTTATCAAAAGAGATGGTATTGCAACTGGGTGGTGGCACACATACCTGCAATCCCAGCGACTGGGTAGGTTGAGACAGGAGGATTGCAAGTTCGGGGCCAGCCTTAGCAACTTAGTGAGGATCTGAGCAACATAGTGAGACCCTGTCTCAAAATTAAAAAGGACTGGGAATTCTAGCTCAATGATTAAGTGCCCCTGGGTTCAATCCCTGATTTAAAAAATAATAATAATCAAACAAAAATGAGTATTTCAGACCCCAAACCTCTATAAACACAGTATGAGGATCTACAGGTAAATTGGGGCCTGGCAATATATTTTGAAAACAAATATCATTTTTTTTCTTTTACTTGAAATACTGTGTCTTCCAGGATTGCAACTAAGGTTTTCAGGCATTTCTTGGGCATGGTGGGAGAAGCCCTTGAGGGCATCTTTTTGCAGAAAGCAATCCTGGAAAAGCCAGTTCCTGAAGGGCAGGATGTCAGTTCAAAGGCCCCAACATACCTTGAACCCTGTGGGTTGGAGATGAACTTGGAAACCGCTTCTCCTTCACCTGGTGGCACAGCATGCACCTTGCTCAGCCATAGGACAGCTAGTTTTTTTTTTTTTTTTTTTTTTTTCTGATTTTATGTATGTCTTTACAGACCTTCAGGGGGGAAGTAAATGATCAGGTATAAAAATTAGTTACAGTTTTTAAATTGTATGCACCACTAAGTTCCTAGTTTTACCCTACTCCAGCTTCTCTGACTCCACTGCTTTCTTGGTTTCTTAGTACAGATGGTCCCAGCAGGCTATGGTGGAAATTTTTAGTGTTGTGATGGGTTTATTGAAGTGTTAAGTATATTTCTGACTTGCAAGAGTTTTGACTTAAAATGGGCTTATTGGGATGTAACCCTATCATAAATCGAGGCACATCTGTAGCTTTGAGTCTTAAAGAAATGGAGATTTTAAGCTAATAATGATGGGAGCTTTAAAAAAAAATATGTGTGTGTGTGTGTGTGTGTATTTGTAGATGGATATAATATCTTTATTTATCTATTTTTTTTAATTGTTTATTGTTGGTTGTTCAAAACATTACAAATTTCTTGACATATCATATTCCACACTTTGATTCAAGTGGGTTATGAACTCCCACCTTCACCCCATACACAGATTGCAGAATCACATCAGTTACACATCCATTGATTTACATATTGCCATACTAGTGTATGTTGTGCTCCGCTGCCTTTCCCATCCTCCACCATCCCACCTCCCCACCTCTCCCCTCCCCTCCCCTCCTCTCTCTCTACCCCCTCCACTGTATAACCCTGAGGGTCTCCTTCCATTTCCAAGCAATTTCCCTTCTCTCTCCCTTTCCCTCCCACCTGTCATCCCTGTTAAATGTTAATCTTCTTCTCATGCTCTTCGTCCCTACTCTGTTCTTAGTTACTCTCCTTATATCAAAGAAGACATTTGGCATTTGTTTTTTAGGGATTGGCTAGCTTCACTTAGCATAATCTGCTCTAATGCCATCTATTTATCTATTTTTATGTGTGTTGAGGAGTCGAACCCAGGGCCTCACACATTCGAGGCAGGCGCTCTACCACTGAGCTAGAGCCCTAGCCCAGGAGCTTTTTTTTTTTTTTTAATGCTGAGAATTTCATTCAGAGCAGTCCTTTACCATGGGCCATTAGTTAGTTGCAGGTCATGGGGGTCTTGCTGCAGCAGAAATGTTCAAGAACTGCTTTCCTTGGTATAATAGTAAAAATGAAAGCAGAGGAAAGGGAGTCCTACTCATGCGCTTACCTACTAAGCATTTCACACATATATTTTTTTTGAATCTTTACAATAACCTTTGAAGTAAGTAGCATTGTTGCCATTTGAAGAGGCGGAGGTTGAGGGCGAAAGCAGCACAGCTCTCTACAGTTTGCACAGTACCAGGGCACACACTCTCCCCTAGCTCCTGCATTTCACTCTAACCTATGAGGTCCCTGTTTTATGAATGAGAAAAATCAAAGCTCAGAGAATCTAAGTAATTTGCGAAAGGCCTCATATCTAATAAGTAGTAGGACATCAGGGTCCCCTTTTAACAATTATGAAAATCCTATTACTTTAAAATCTTATGTCTGTCTGTAGCTATCTATATGTTCATGAAAGCCTGAGAATTAGATGGTTATTAATTGCAAGCAGGGGTAGAATTGCAAAAATAAATAAAATAAAAAACAAACCCTAATATAATTGCTTGCTTATTTTTTTTTTCCTTGTACTGAGGATTGAACCCAAGGCTGCTTTCCCACTGAGCTACATCTCCAGTCCTTTTTGTTATTTATTTTGAGACAGGGTCTCACTAAGTTGCTCAGGGCCTTACTAAATTGCTAAGACTGGCCCTTAACATTTAATACTCCTGCCTCAGCCTCCTGGGTCACTGGGATTACAGGCATGTGCCACCACATCTAGTCAATCCTTTGCTTCTAACTACACAGAAATCTATATAGGGTCTCAGTTCTGTCAGTGCTCCTATTTCCCACACGATCAGATTATTCATTGGCAATATATGAAGTCACCCACTTAGATCCTAACTTTGTAAAGACATGTTAGTCAATGTTCCCTAAATATAACTGAGAGGTGAAACAGGTGTTTATAACCCAGACTAACCCTTTTGGTCATTCCAGCATTTATATAGACAGGGTTTTGAATACCCCTGGAGAAAATTGATTCCTAGGTAGGTAAGGTCACAGTGGTTTCAATAGTGAAAAACCCTGTCTTGTGACCACTCCCTCTTACTCTAAGGGAGACAGAATGTGTTTAGTCCTTCCTAAAAAAATACTATGCAGTACTTATTCTTTTTTCCTGCTGACTTATTTCCTTTTATCCTGGACCCTGTTGTTTTCTTCACTTCAAGATTAATGTTGACTTTCTCCTTTATTTTTTGAAAATTCTCTTTCAAACATTTTCTATTTACCACCAAAACTTAATCAACTTAAAGATATTTGCAGAGTGGTATAATTAAGTCAGTTCTGCTGTGGCTTTAAATGTGTCTTTACAACTAACAGTTTCCTGCTTACTCATCTTAAAAAGTTTCATCTTCATGTGGTGCATCTTCCTCTCTCCCCCTCCCCCCATAGGCCATCCTTTCCTCCTCCTCTTTCTCTTTAAAGCAGCAGATTGCTTTACCTTCTGATTAACCTATTTTTGCAAGTGGTCACTATTTTTGAGAACTATCCAAGAACTCTAGATTAGATCATTGTGTTTGAGCAAGGCTTGGAAGGAAGGGAAATCGTGGTGATTCTGTGGCAGGGTCTTGGTAGATAACCTGCATTTCATTGACCATTTCCAGCTGTTAGACTAAACTGCAGGGCTGTTTACATTTCCAGCCCCTCCAGCACACCCAGGCTATTAATCTGTCTTGGCAGGGAAGTGGCTGGCCATTCTGATTGTTAAACTTCTAGCAGTCTCCGGAATAAGGAGTACTGAGACCTGGTAACTGTGAGAGCAAAATATTTAAACAGACAGAAATGGGAGGTGGGAAGGAAGGGAGGTGGGTGCTTGTAACTGGAAAAAGGCAGACCAGAACCTTGACAGTTTAAATGTAACTGTTCAACAAAGGAAGTAGATTTGGAGGTTTATCTGCAAGGGGTTTGCAACTCCACCCTGTCATGCAGGAGAATGATAAGCAGGTTGAGTGGAGGGTGGGATTGGAAAAATGAATCCTTGTGAAATAGTTTTTAAATAGGGGCCGATTTAGGGCGTCCATGTTTACTCAGGAAAGGATCCAGTAGTAGCATTAACTGAAAAAGAAAAGTTATGAGGAAGGGGCCTAATGGTTGTGAGGAAATAACTCCAAAAATCCCCCATAGGTTGAAAAGATATTTGTGTGGACCTTGAGAACATATAGAAAGAAAGGGAGCGGGTAACCCAGATAAGGTGCGTTCTCGGTTTACCAACTCTAGGCCAAGTTCCCATCGCCTGGATCCACACCACCACAGGGTGACACTGATACATAAGCGCTTGCAGTTGCCAGAAGGGCTCTAAGCGTCTACAGATGGAGGCATCGTCCGAGACCACCCAGCTCTTATGTGTGGCCCCTGGATTTGAACCAGGTAAGTTCTCTGTGGTCCCAGCAGCGCTTTTGCTCTGCCCATTTGGGAAGGTGATTTCAAGTCTGAGGGTCTTGGCGAAACATAAAAAAATCACTGTTCTCAGAGATCTGAAATCAGGCTGTAGCCCCTGAGTCCTTCGGAGCTGCTTAGTCGCTGTCTGCCTGGACGCCCCTAGCTACAGTGCCGGACATCACGGTCCCAGGCCCCCATCCCACCGCGCAGCTCTGCCAGGCTCCTCGGGCCTCCGCGGAGGCTGCGCGGTGGGAAGAGCGTGCAGAGAAGCAGGTCGGCGCGAACGGCTGCGGGGAAAGTATTGTTCTGCAGCCCCGAGCGGCCCCGGCGGTGGAGGAACACCAGCCTCGTCAGAGCCTGGGTAATAACAGGGACCGGCGAGGTTCAAAGGCGAGCGACGGTCCTGAGAGCGCACAGCGCGGCTGCCCATAAGTAAAGGGGAGACTGACACAGTCCTCCGGGTTTCAGGGCCGGCGGGCACTGGCGCCTCCCAGCGCGTCCTTCCGGACCCCTGGGCGACGCGCCCCTGTGCAGGGAGCCGGCAAGAGGGTGGGCCGGGCCGGGGGCTAGGCGGCCGCGCGTGCGCGAGCTGTCAGGCCGGCCCCGCCCCCGGCGCGGCCCCGCCCGCCCCTCCCTCCGCGCGTCCCCTCCCTCCGCGCGTCCCCTCCCTCCGCGGGTCCCCTCCCTCCGCGTGTCCCCTCCCTCGGCGCGTCCCCTCCCCTCGCTCTCCCGGTGTGGGGCTGGCGGGCGCTGCGGCGGTCGCGGCTGCCGCTTCCTCGGGCCATTTTGCTGTGGCGCGACAGAGAGGAGAAGCTGTCGAGGGGACCCAGGGCTCGGAGCCGCGATCCCGAGCGGGCGGCGGCCGCACGGACTCCGTCTTTCCGCGGTCGCGGGGATCTCGAGGGGCGAGGCGATCGCCGGGAGGGGGACCGGAGAGCCGCGCCCGCCGCGCGGGGCGCCCCTTCCCGCCCCCTGCACCATGAGCTGGGGCACTGAGCTCTGGGTGAGTGAGGGGCAGGGCCGCCGGCGGCCGGGTCGGTGCGCGCGCGGGCTGCGTTTCCCCGCGGCCTGGGGGGAGGCGCGGGTCCCGGTGGCCCCGCTGGCCTGGGCCGAGCAGGAGGTGCCGCCAGTCCGCCTTCTGGAGGCGAGGGGAGCTGTGGTCCCCGCCGGTCTGAGCCGCGGACGCGGGTTGGGTCCGATCGGCCCGAGAAGGAGAAGGGGGCCGGGTCGCGCTGCCGCCCGGGAGGAAGGCGGCCCGGGAGGGGGCGCGGGCCGGCCTCCCTCTCCCCGGCGCCCCGAGGCCGGCGGGCGTGTGGGGAGGAGCCTTCGTCCCCGGGGCGATGCCCGGACCGCCGTGGCCCGTGGCCCGGGGCGCAGAGGCCCTGGGCTCTGCTGGGCTGCGTAACGCGTGCCGGCGCCCGCGGCTGGGTCCTGGGCTGCCTTCCCCCTGCCGCGGAGCCAGCGCTCCCCCGGGGGCGGGGCGGCCGCGGCGGGCTCCGGTCCCCGCCTTGGGTTTTGGGGTGTCAAGGACGAGAAGTGAGGTCTTCCCTCTGGAAGCGGGGACTTGGGACCCGCGCCGTTCGGGGCGCACTTGTTCTTTGGGGCAACTCGGATCCTGAATTTGAGGGGGCTGCGGCGTTTGGCCTGGAGGAGGAAAGTAGTAGGAGTTAGAAGGCTTTCGTTATCCATTTCAGGAAAGAGCATTCGCAGGGTAAGCCGTTCTTTATCTGCTGCCCAGAGGAAACAGTTTCAAGTGGGTAAGGTCGGCAGTGAGGGCTGCCTGGGCCGGTGCCCTTAGCCCGGGGTAAACAAGCAGCTTGGTGCCTAAAAGCTGTCGCCGCACCGAGAGCCTCCAGGCGACCCAAGGCAGTTCACAGGCCATACCCGCGAGGAGAGGCTGTTTGGGACCCAGATTGTTTCCCTGCCCTCCCCAGGCTCTTGGGGAGATCACTGGGTCAGAGACGGCAGTGCAGTGGTCAGGGGCAAGAGCCGCGGAAATCTCGATTGTTGCCCTGAACTGTGCTCAAGAACGCTGTGGCCCAGGATGAACTCCAGGATGAAGCAGAAGTGCCTGCTTCCTACCTTTTGGAATTCCATTTGTGAAGGGTGTGGAGGAGAAAGTGTGGGGTGGTGGTTGCTGTCTGGGATGAGGCCAAGAAATCTCATGTCAAAATAAAACAAGGTTAGAGCAATTACAGAAACAGAGCGCATCCTCCCTGAAAGAAAAAAAAAAAAATTGGGCTTTAATTGTTTTTACATAACCATTTCTTAGGCTCCAAAGCAGCTACTGTTAGTAATACTAAAATCCTGAGGGCAAAAGCTCCCTTAAATTAAGATAATTCATTTTATAAACATCCTCTGTCTAAAGGGATTCATGACAAAATTTTAGCTGATGTTTACAAATATTCATTTTGAAAATAAATTAACGGTTTAACATATTTGCACCCAATTAGGCAGAGATCCACTCCTTTAGGTGTGTGTTTCTTTCCTCTTCAGTGCCTCTTCTACTTACTTTGACTTTTTTCCCCCTTTTGTATTGGGGATTGAATCCTGGGGTGCTTTACCACTAAGCTACATCTCCAACCCTTTTATTTTTTATTTTAAGACAGAGGCTCACTGAATTACTGAGGTCAGCCTAAAACTTGAGAGCCTCCTGCCTCAGCCTTCACAGTTGCTGGGATTACAGGCAGCCGCCTCTGGGCCCTGCTCCCCTTTTATTTTTTTAGGTTATTTGAGGATGGGGGAACATATCAGAAATAATCCTCATCAAGAGGATATAATTTCTTTTCCCCAATGTTCAATTTATGGAGGGAAAAATACCATATGTTTCTGAGTGAAATAGGGACAGACATGGAGGTAAGCATTCCATAGTGAAGTCGGTGAAATGTCACAGCAGGTATCTCAATCAAGGGGTGGGTGGCTGGGGGAAGAAATGATAAAATAGCTCCCACTGCCTGCATCATTCTGTAGATATTTCTTTTGAGAATGGAGGGAAGGGAAGGACGACAAGGACAGGAGTCACTGAGAATAAATGGGTGGGGGAAGGTACAGGGCATGATATTGACCAGGTTATGTGTGTGTGGTGTATGGCACGATGAATCCCACACTGAGGTACAGTTATGATACATCAGTAAAAAGCAAATGGGGGCTCAGTGGTGGAGCTCTTGCCTCACACATGTGAGGTACTGGGTTCCATCCTCATTAAAAAATAAATAATTTTAAAAATTAATTTTGTTTAAAGGTATTATAAATAAATAATGAGGTACTGAAATGTATATGAATGATACAAAATCTTGCGCTTGCCTCAGAATTTGCAGTGGTAGTGGGTGGAGGATATTGAAACAAAATTGGTCCTGAAGGTAGTTATTGTAATTGGATGATGGCTGCAGAAGAGCCCCTGCTCGTATTCCTTCTACTGTGTATGCGTGAAATTTCTACATGAGAATAATTGAAAAACATTTTAAGGTAGAAATTGTGAAGTATTGGAACATTTTTTTCACTTGGTAACTTGAAGAGGAAGAGTGAGCCAGTCAGCAGGTCTGTAAGTACAAATACGGGCCGAGGGGTTGTTTTCCAAGGCATTCCTGCCTGGGGAGCTCTGCCGTGAGCCGCTTACTGTTCAGGGGAGGTGAGGGAAAGAGCACAGTACTGCAGGACTGAAAAAGGCCACATTTTTAGTTTTAATTTGAAATGCAAAGACACACAGGGCAGCCAAATGCCCACCTTCAGCTGCCTTAACCTATTAGTGGTTGTTGGGATTAAACATGAGAGCAGCTGGAGCTGAAGAACAGGCCCCATTCCTGGTGGTCAGAGGTTGAGATGTGCGGTGCCTGGGCAGCCCAGAGGAAAGCAGTGATTGAAGGTTTTCCTTAAATGGTGGCTTGGGATCATGCACATGTGTAATGAGATAATGACGGGGCCCTAAAGCCTCACTTGGCAGAGTCATGCTTCTAGATGGAGAGACTGCCTATGGTTTGGGTGGCCCTCAGTTATTTGTAACAGGTGGTTGCAGCTTGCATGGACCTTCACAAATGCAATCAGACTTTGCACACATTGTAGGACTTTAGTGAAGTCCACGTCCTGCATTTTAAAACTGCAGGTTTCAGGGCTGGGGAGGTAGCCCCGTGGTAGAGTGCTGGCCTGGTATTTGCAAGGGCCTGGGTTTGATCCCCAGCCCACAGGAATTAAAAAAAAAAAAATGCATTTCACACTAAAGACCTGCTTTTAAGCCACATCCTGCTTCTAGAGGTAGTTAAACCTTTCTCTTGTTCCTTGAATATTTTATAAAAATGAATCATATTCTAGGAAAGTTTTGAGAAATTGTCATTGTCAGGAAGTTATCGTGCAACTATAAAAATGAACTCAAAACCTGTAATTTGTGATAATTTTATTGGATTAATTTATATTTAAGTTGGGCTTTTGTTTTGTTTTGGTGTGGTCCTGGGGACTGGACCTGGGCCCTGCGCATGCTGGGCGAGTGCTGCACCATCTAGCTACATCTCCAGCCTCACATTGGGCTTTCAGTTTTTTTTTTTGTAGGGGGGTGGCTTTTGTTTTGTTTGTATCAGAATGTTATAACAAAGTTAAATGGCTATTTTAAAGAAATTAGGTTTGGGGCTGGAGCTGTGGCTCAGTGGTAGAGCGATTGCCTAGCATGTGTGAGGCACTGGGTTCAATCCTCAGCACCACATTAAAAAGTAAACTAATAAAATGGAATTTAAAAAATAAAAGAAAGGAGAAAGAAATTAGGTTTGAATAAAATTATCTCTGGCCGGGTGCAGTGGTGCACGCCTTGGAAGACTGAGGCAGAAGGATCAACTTAGTGAGACCCTGTCTCAGAATAAAAAATAATTAAAAAATAAAAGGGGGGTGGCCAGGAATGTGACTCAGTGTTTACATGCCTCTGGGTTCCATCCCTGATACAAAAGGAAAAAAAAAAAACTCATAAACTTTTCATAAATTCACCTTTGATTTTTTAAAAAAGTTTATTGAACAGCTACTGTACAAGGCCCCTGTTCGAGTCTGTTGTCACAATATATACATTGAGTGATCTCTACTTATTTCTATGAAAGCAGATAAATAGGTTTTACCTCTAGGCTGCAACATCAGAATCAAAATAAACATTTATGGCTTCTTTCTTTCTTTCTTTCTGGTGCTGAAGATTGAACCCAGGGCCTTGTGCACGTGAGGCGAGCACTCTACCAACTGAGCTCTATCCCCAGCCCTTATGTTTCTTTTTTTTCTTTCTTTTTTTTACAGTGCTAGGGATTGACCCCAGGCCTCATGCATGCCAGGAGAATGCTGACATTTAAGTTTCTATGTAAGATTAACCAAAAAAGGCCTGGGGATGCAGCTTAGTGGTGTAGTGCTTGTGCAAGGCCCTGGGTTCAACTTCCAGAACCACCAATTAAAAAAAAAAAAAGTAGAAGAAGAAGAAGCCAAAAGGCATTTACTTAACACTTTGTTTAAAAGGTAATATCAACAGGGTAGACTTGTCTACCACCTTTTTGAAATTGTGACTGGTCATTGGAGAGATGGCAAAGCAAGAGTCTTGGAGTGGGTTTTTTGTACCTATTTATTGGAAGGCAGTGACAGGTTATTCAAGTGTCGGTCCAACTTTTTGTTAGCTGGCTCATTAGTGTGACATATGAATAAATCCATTGGAAATTTTAGCTCTGTCACCATTGCAGGTTTGCAGTTCCCAGATTCTTCATTGACAGACCTGGTTTTGCTGTCACCTGGTGTCCTCTGCACCATCCTTATTTCTTTTTGCTCAGGTGCTAATGAGAAACGAAGCAGCCAGCATACAAGAAAGAGAACAGGGAGTCCCGAGCAATACATGTTGGTCAGCTAGTGAGAAGCACCTCAGTATATTCTATGTGAATCCTTTCTGACCTGTGTTTTTAAGGTAATGTCAGACACATAGTGTACGTCCACCTATGCTGACTCTATTGACATGGGTTGCAGGATGCACTTTGAATAGGCAACAGTGTAAGAATCATC